GTGGTGGTGGAGTAGTGGTGGTAGTGGTAGTAGTAATAGTGGTAGTAATGGTAGTGGTGGTGGTAGTGATGGTGGTGGTGTCTGGACCCCTGGTCAACCAGCTCCCTCAGAGAGAGAGAGAGTTAGTCTTAAGAATGGCGGAAGCTTTCCCATGCATGGGTGTGCTGGGGTGGGGAGAGGGGGAAGTGTGTGGTTGGCTTGCAGATATCAACAATAGGGGCTCTGCTTTGGGGCTTCTTAGGCTCACGGATGCTGTTCTAAAGGGGGGTGGTGGTGGCTCAGGACGGGGTTGCGCAGCACTGCTAGCCCCACAGTAGCTCATTCTCCAGAGAGGTGGTCCTCTGAGACAAAGGGCTATTCTACTTGTGGACCTCCCAGGCATGGTCATCAGCCACCTAGAAACATTTCTCTTACAGCCCCGTGTCCTGGAGAGGGGCCGTGAGAGCGGCATACTCCCAGTCTGCATGTGCAGGGGCAAAGGGGCCACCTGGGTGGGTAGATTTGGAATCTGTGCCACAGTTGCAGGCTCGAGAAGGTCACAATGCCCACTTGACCTTCCAAGGCCTCCACTTGATGCCCTCAGTGTTCAGAGATGCCCTGCTTTGGGGTGGGGGCCACATCCGTGGCCTTCCCGTAACTTAAGAACTGGGTTTCTATCGTATTATGACAATTGGCTCTGGCTTCCGTGCGGGCTTAGCCGGGAGTCCAGCGGGAGGCACCAGTGAGGGCAGCCCTCCCAGAGACGATGACTTCCTGGGTGACGGGTAGGGACCTGTTGGGTAGAGGGTGGACAGTGAGTCTGTACCTGGGTTTCTGGAGCTGGCCAAGCAGATGAGCTCTGAGATCAGGGTCCTCAAGGTCATAGTTGACAGTCCAGTAGACACAGAGCTTCCGGTGCTGCTGGATGAGGCCCAGGACCGTCCGGAGGCCTCGGGCCATGTTGAAGCTGTCCTTCCTGCCGTTTTGCTCCCAGGCGAACAGGGTCAGTAGCTCCAGGGCGTAGGCTGGCGGCAGAGCAGCACTGGCTGGACCTCTGTTCTGAGCTGCCACCTGTGTCGCCCGAGGCCAACCACACAACAGTGGGTGTGAGGACCCACTGCGCACGTGCACAGAGGCCGGCCCCAGACACTTGGGGAAGGGGAGGAGTTAGGACCCGTAGACCTACAGAAAGAATCAAGGCTTGAAGACGGCTGGGGCTCCACCTTCTTATGTCACAGACGCATTGAGCAAGGCCCAAAGAGCCGAGCGGCGTGACCCGTCCCAGGTCAGACCGAGAGACTAACGCTCAGACTAGAACTCGGGACGTGCCCGGAGTCTCCCCGCTCCCCAGAGCGTCTGAGCTGGCTGTACAGACCTGAGCCGGGCTGTGAGGGGTCCATCTTGGTATCTCAGCATCCCTCACTGCACTAGCAATTGTGGGGGCTCGACAGACATTTGCTAACGCGTTCCCGGATGTGAACAGGCATTCAGAGCCTGCTTAGGAAGGGCGTCTGAAGGACTTCGCAGGGACGATGGTGGTGGTGGGACGGGAGCATCAGCAAACGCCTGGAGGTGGGCAGACATGGGGCCTCTTGGTGGTGTAGAGAGAGAAGTGAAGTGTGGACTGGGGAGGAAAGCTGAGCCCCTAATACAGGAAATGTGGGCCCTGAAGAGAGGGTGAGATGGATGTGGACCAGAACTCCAAATCCCAGTGCTGTGCGGTTTCCCAGGTGGGTGATGCCTCCGTTCTTGCCTTCGCGTGTGAAAGAATTCACGCCAAAGCCTCGTTTGTGATCCAAGTGGGCTTTTATAAAGAATGGGAGAAGTTTCCAGTTTTAGAGGCTCAAAAGGGTACACGCTATTTTGGGGAAGTGTGTCAAACCAAATGAAAGCCAAGCTGGGGTCCACCACTGAACACGGGCAACCGCGTGGACCTGCTCACCCACATGTCTTGGCCTGAGGCCAGAGAGACCATGGTTTGGCTAAGCCCGTGCAGGAGCAGGGTCAAGGGGAGAAGACAGAGGGGCCAAAGGGGCGGCTATCCCACCGCCAAGTTATTTTAAACCTCTGGCTGGGGAGGCGTGGTCGAAGGTATAACCAATACCCCATTGGCTGAATCAAGTCCTCCTGGCTTGGGGGAACGGGGGTCCTCATAGGTGTTTAATGCTCGCCTGATTCCTTC